TTGGGGATTGCCCTTTGAAAAAAATATCAATAACGTCATAACTCGTTTAAAAATGGTGAACAAAATTTGAAATCTACACCAAAAAATTGCAAAGAATTTAAATCTTTAGACCCGTTTCGGGGATTTTTTCATAAACCGTTTATCATGATTTTATCGCCTATATCCGTTACTTTACGGACATACTGTATAATAGTACAGGGGTGGCCAAGCTCCTTGATAGTCCGAGCCATTTTTCAAAATTCGAAATTTTTCGCGAGCCGCAATTAAATACGTATATATTAAAAAGGTATTCAAAAAATTTATTAAAAACAATTTTTTTAGAGAAATTATATTAAATATACTAAAAAGAAAAAAAAAAAAGGACCTCGAGTACATTTATCGAGAGCCACAAATAATCATTCAAAGAGCCGCATCTGACTCACGAGCCGCAGTTTGGCCACCGTTGTAATAGTATATTACAGTACAAGTGAGGAAACTATGATTTTTCATTAACGCGTATGTTGGATACTTGGAAAGACATACAAGTTAGTGGAAAATATTAGGTTCCCACGTTTGCTGTATAGCGTTTTGTTCAATCGACATGTCGGCGATGACAGCAGTTTTTGACATTGTTATGCTCTTAATTGATATACAGGGTGATTTATAACATACGGAGCAGACTAAAAGGATAGGTACTTAGGGTCAAACTGAAGAGATTTTCTTAATAATGTTTTGTTAAAAACTTAATAGTGACATAGATATCGCATGTTAATTTTTTAAATAAGTTATCGTCCATTTTTCAGAACCACTGATATTCAGTAAAGAGCAATTTTAAAATACTTTTTAAATGACATGTCCGCTGCTAGGTAACCAAATCAACTGGATGGCAGCAATAAAAACATGGTATGGTAACCGTAACTGCCATATTACATAGATTTTATTATTGGTGCTAATTATGCAGTTTAAGTAACCCTGAAATATTCGCGGTTTGAATTTAAACGTAGTGTAATACCGTATATCGTAAGAAATACTCGGCCATTAATTCAACTTTAACGTTCTATATCTTTGTGATTATTACGTTGTAGTCAAAACATTATTAAGAAAATATCTTTAATTTGGGCCCTAGTACCTACCCTTTTAATCTACTCCGTATGTTATAAATCATCCTGTATGTAAACAACCATTTATGTCAAATTGTTAATTGTCATCATTATGCATAAAATTAATAGATTGATTAAAGTCAATAATTTATACAAGTGAAATACTTAATTAACTTTCCACGTGTGCTGTCCACCGTTTTTTAGTTAACATCCGTTACGTTAAACTAAGAGTTGTTGCTTTAAAGGTTTTATATTTAGCTAACAGCGGTTGAAAAAAATTAGAGTGACTCACTCGTTTCTATGAAAGTAAGCAGAGTGAATGCAAATAACAACTTTCAACACTCGTATCTAAGTTAGAAATTCGCAATTTTGAAGGTAGGATTGAACAAATATACACTGGAATTTAAAAGAAATTAACCACCCTGAAGGAGGAGACTTCAAAATTACGTAGAAATAGTTAGTGCCTAGAGACAAACAAATGATTAAATTTTCATAAACAAATGACAATATCGTTAATAATGTGTTGCATCTCCGCGTACTCTTATACATTCAGTAACTCTTCGTGGTATACTGGAAATTAGATGGTCTATTACCTCTTGGGGCAGCTCATTCCAGGCTACCTGTAGCTGTTGACGTAATTCCTCTAAAGTGTTGGGAGAATGGGGTAATCGACGCAATTTTCTGTCCATCATATCCCAGACATGTTCAATAAGGTTTAAGTCCGGGGATCTTGCCGGCCAAGGCAATTGCAGAACATTATTTTGTGCTAGGAACTCTAACGTTACGTGAGCAATATGAGGTCGCGCATTATCGTGTTGGAAGACGGGCTCTGGAAGGTCTTGGAGGAAAGGCACTAACACATTGAATGAATGTCAAAGGAGACTTGCTACCGTAGCGTATTGCTCCCCACAGCATTACACCAGGAGTTTGAGCAGCGTGGCGACGCTGAATAAACTGTAAATTTTGCCTCTGACCTCTAGGTCGTCTGATCCCTAAACGTCCGTCAGAATTCCATAAGCAAAATCGGGATTCGTCGCTGAAGACGATAGTTTTCCATTCATGTTCCCAATGTTGTCGGTTTTGGCTCCACTGCAGTCTGGCATCTTTACGTTGTTGAGTCATAGAAAGACGAAAATAAGGACGATATGAACGTAACCCAAATGTACGTACTCGACGATAAATCGTACTCATAGACACTCTGCGACCAATTGCTCGTATCCAATTGATTGCAACAGCACGCGTTGGTTCTACTGGGTCTTGTATTGCACTTCGCCTTAACAGTCTATCTTCGCGTGCTGCTGTCTAGGACGTCCACTGCCTCTACGACGGGTTTCTAAGCGTTCTTACTGCCAATCCATCCAAGTCCGTCTGATAGTGGCGTGAGGTAGGCCCATGCGTCTGCCAATTTCCCGAAAGCTTAAACCAGCCTCATGCATCCCGATAATTCGTCCTCTTTCAAAGGGCTTAAGATGGCGAAAATTTGCACGTCTTCGAACTCGTGGCATTTTTGAGACACTAACTTTACTAATGCAATGACAACAATCATAAACAAAAGGCGAACTACTCCGAAAAATACTATTCAACACACGCAATTTCAGGACCTCACAGACAGATAATTATCTGTCTGTTAGGTAATAACAAAATTAAACTTTTTTTTTGTTGCATCGACTTTTATGCCTGTTTTTTACTAATCGGAGGTCGCTGATTTCAAATCTACCCACCTTTTTTCTTTAGCAGCTCTAGTTTTTGCGATACAGCTAGTCACGTTTAAATTTCAAATCAACCGAGCTGTTGTTTAAAACAGTGTTTTGTTTAATAATGTCCGCGTCGAGAAATATCTGTCAAAACAATGCCGACAATTTTTGTAACATCTGTGGTGAATATACATTCAAAAATTGTAGACTAAGTGTGTCGGCGTTCATAAAACAGGTGTAGAGAATGTAGAGAATATGCTACTGTAGCTTCTGTTATGGATAAAATCAAGTACAACGAACACAAGTGGCTTATATGTGTAGATCTAAAGATGGTGAATTTTCTTCTTGGACAACAAGGGGGCTATACAAAATATCCATGTTTTTTTTGTTTGTGGGACAGCAGAGCTAAGTCTGAGCACTGGGTTAGAAAAGATTGGTCTTCGAGGCAAACTATGGTTCCGGGAAAGCTGAATGTGATAAATGAACCCCTTGTGTCCAGGGATCGTATAATACTGCCACCTTTACATATCAAACTAGGGCTTATGAAACAATTTGTCAAAGCTCTAAACAAGGATGGTGAGTGTTTTAAATACATCGCTAAAAAGTTCCATAACTTGAGCACAGAGAAACTTAAAGCCGGAATTTTTGATGGTCCTCAAATAAGAAGGTTGATAAAGGATGAAAACTTTAATAGTTACATGACTAATATTGAAAAAAATGCCTGGAATGAATTCGTTTGGACTGCACAAAATTTTCTGGGAAACAAAAAGGACGATAGCTATGCGGATCATATTGAGCTGATGTTGTTACACTTCCAGCAGCTTGGATGTAATATGAGCATCAAAGTACACTTCCTCCACAGTCATTTGGACCGTTTCCCTGAAAATCTTGGTGATCTGAGTGAAGAACAAGGGGAACGATTCCATCAACACATTCGAACTATGGAGGAACGTTACCAGGGTCACTGGAATGCTCACATGATGGCAGACTATTGTTGGAGCATTAAAAACAGCCCTCGTGATCCAAGTCAAGCAAGAAAATCTTATAAAAGAAATTTTTTAGATAAGTAGTGGTTGTTTTTCTAATGAGTTTCTTAATAAAATATAGATTTTTCTTAAAAAACGCGTTTTAATTATTATATCTCAAAAATTGAAGCTGATACGAACAATCTGCCTTCAGATTTGAAATCAGCACTCAGAGAAAGTATAATATTAGTCATAATATTTCATGCAACAAAAATGCTGTTTCCTTGTGTAATTTCTATCAGCTGTGGCAGATGGATGCACATGGACTAACTGATTCTACATAATTTCAAAGTTCTTCGCCTATTCCTACGGGGTGGTTCATTTCTTTTGAAAAGCAGAATAGTTGTATTCAATGAAGAAAGTCCTATTGGGGTTATACTTGATTAATATCCAAAGCCGGATATTTGGTAACTATCCGGTATCCGGTCGTATTTTAATAAATGGCCGGATATCCGTTCCACCCCTAATTACTCAATATTTTATAAATTTATTTATATGTATTCAAGTTCCTAATTTATACAAAAAATGTCAAGTAACTAAGTGAATGAGCATCCTTAGCCAATAGTGTACCAATATATTTCTTGAAGCTGTTAATGGAAGAGCAGATACTTGCAGAAGACTACATACTCCTTTCTAAAGACTAGATACTGTAAGAAGAATATTAGATATTGTTGGTAGAAGAGAAGATGTTGCTAATAGTAAACCATAAGATCTTCTTCTAGAAGACTAAACACTGTTGGCAGAAAATTAGAAGCTGATAATGATTATATTTTTTAATTCGGAGGACTGTTACGATGTTATTAAAAAAGAAATTAAATTTAATTAATTTTATTATCAGAATTACAAAAAAAAAAGTGCGATGGCCGGGAATCGAACCCGGATCAACTGCTTGGAAGGCAACTATGCTGACCATTACACCACCATCGCCAATGAGAATCTCATAACCTAACGGTTACACTTTTGTCATGTAAAGTCGACTCAAAATAATTCACAAATAAGTTACGTATTTATTATTAATTTTTTATCTTAAAAACAAAATCATTTCATAAAAAAAATAAGTTTAACCATTTTAAACATTACATGGTAATGAAACCACCTAATTTCATCTCTTTCTATCTTTCATGATACTCTATTCCTTTCCTTGTCTGTTATCGTTTATACTTATTCCTAAACGCACCTTTCCATCTAAATAAACACGTATATGATCGTAGCCAACTTCACATCAAACAACAAAATTGTAGCCAACTTGTCGGGAACGCGTTCTTTGTGAAAGTTTGTTTAATCTTTTTAAACGTCACAATATCGGACATGGCCCAACGTTTTCCGGGGCCTGTACCGAATGCAGGACCAGGAGTTCCTCCTCCACAAAGGTATCCGCCCCCGCAAAATCCTCCGATTCGACAATATCCAGGACAAAACTTCCCGGTAAATACACACACTCCAATTATACTATTTTTATATTACTCTTATTTATTAACAGCAAAGATCAGGATTTACTCCCCCACCAAATATGGGGACAAGTGGAGGTAATATAATGCAACGTCCACCTCAGCAACCTTATTCCCCAATGAGGGGTGGTCCCATGCCGCCCCAACAAGGTGTTAAAAGACCTCCAGACTCCCGGGTGGGTTTACCACCACAAAAAGGGTAAATAAGATTGAAATTAATATATTAAAATTCGAACTTTATAAAGGATTCTGTCATAATTATTGTTTTAGTGAATACACACATGGAACAAGTAAAAAAAAGAAGAAACTCTCTGATAAAATTCTCCCCCAAAAAGTGCGTGATCTCGTCCCTGAAAGTCAAGCTTACATGGATCTTTTAGCTTTTGAACGTAAGCTAGATGCTACAATAATGCGAAAAAGATTAGATATTCAAGAGGCCTTAAAACGACCCATGAAACAAAAACGCAAATTAAGGATTTTTATTTCAAATACGTTCTATCCAAGTAAAGAACCGCAAGCTGATGGACCAGATGGTCCAGGACAAGAAGGTTCGGTAGCGTCTTGGGAGTTACGCGTCGAAGGTCGTCTTTTGGAGGATTCCAAAAACGATCCTAATAAAGTGAAAAGAAAGTTTTCTTCGTTTTTTAAATCTTTGGTTATCGAGTTGGATAAGGAATTGTATGGGCCTGATAATCATTTGGTTGAATGGCATCGCACTTTGACTACACAAGAAACTGATGGATTTCAAGTAAAAAAATTGAATTTGGTTTGTTAAGATTAATTTATTGGAATTTGTTTAGGTGAAAAGACCTGGAGATAAAAATGTGAGATGTACGATCTTGCTACTTTTGGATTACCAACCATTGCAGTTTAAATTAGACCCAAGATTGGCGAGGTTGTTGGGGGTTCACACTCAAACACGTCCTGTTATCATTTCTGCACTTTGGCAATACATCAAAACTCATAGGTAACAATAGGTTAATGTTTTATCCAGAATCTTCCTTAGAATTTGAAATAAAAGAAGAGATCAATAAAAATGTTTTATTTCAGGAAATCATTGCTACATATGTTTAGACTAATAATAATTCAGACACGACTGTATTGAACTAAAAATACAAAATGTACAGGTGTTTCTAAATTGATACAAACCTTTTGACGATTTTTGTAACCCTAAAATGTTATTACAAGGCAAAATCAACCCCTATAATATTTTGCATCAGAACTTTCTAATGCGTCTACATTTTTCTTTTAAAGTTTTGGAATTCATTTTATTATATTTTAAGATATCTTCCTTTACACTCGTCATGGATTACTTAGTATTAACAAAAAAATACATATATAATTGCAAATTGACAAAAAATTACATAGTTATGAAAGCAGTTACAATTAAAATTCAGACACAACATTCTGTGTTTAGGAATTCCTCAACAGAATAGAAAGCGCCGCAGAATAAAAATGGTTTTAAACGCCGCTTCAAAGAGTCATTTGAGAGAGTTCTCGCGTCAAGCGGTAAGCGATTAAACAGTTGCTGTGACGTATATATCGGGCCCCGTTGAGACTTTTGTAATCTGCAAAAATTAGTCCGAATATCATGCTTGCCTCTCGTGTCATAATGATGAAAATTAGAAGAGATATCATAGGAGTGTTTATTCTTATTGGCATATAAAATTGCTTCCAATATAAATTCTGATGGAATAGTTAAAATGTTTAGCCTCTTGAAGAGAAGCTTGCAGTTTTCAAAATATGACTACTAGCTGGAGTATTTCCCCATGCCAATATACAATATGTCAAAAGTGAGTGGACTAAAGCATAGTATGCCATTCTCGCAATTTCAGGAGGAACCGTATCAACTACACGTTTCAGTGCGTAAATGTTTCGGCTCACCCTGGCCCCACAGCTTGAGCATGCTCGTCAAAACTTAATTTTGGAGCAGTTACAATTACGCCTAAAAACTTAGTGCCGCTGGGATTCTGAGGGGGAAGATCTCTAAGGCCAAGTGACATATGTACCGTTTTAAAGTTATTAAGAGAAAGTTCATTTGCCACAGTCCAATCATGAACTCTACGCATCACATTATCCGATATACGGTGTAAATCATCAATGCATGGACTACGAATCAACAGGGTAGCATCATCAGCATAAAGAAAGCATTCAACATTGTTCCCAACATAATAGGGTAGGTCATTAATAAATAATAGAAACAGCACAGGTCCAAGAATTGACCCCTGTGGAACCCCTCTATATACCGGAATGCGATTTGAGACTTTAGAATCACAGTTTACGCATTGATTCCTTCCCTCCAGGTATGACATAATGAAATTTAAACTATTACTGTCAAAGTTATAAACTGTTTTAATTTTTTCTAAAAGAATTCTATGCGATACGCAGTCAAACGCTCGCGATAGATCAATAAATATAGCAACACAATATTCACTGTTTTCAAAAGCTTGTAAGCATGAATTCAGGAAGTTCACCACAGCATCCTTAGTACCCAAGCCTTGGGTAGCCTTGTCGAAAACCAAACTGGTTCTTAACCACTTAATGCTAGGGGTTTTTTCGGGATAGCGCAAATCGGAACGCATTTGATGCGCGAGAGGGTGTCGTTCGAGATGCTTAAGTGGTTAAACAACATATTATTACCTTCAACGTAATCATATATAAGACAGAGATATAAGATATATAAGGTTATAGACTTAAAGCACAGTATAAAGTAAATCAGTAGTCTCACTTGCCTTATATGGCGTCCTCAGATTTGCTACAGCGCACACGCTGCGCGCATTCATGTTACGTTTGCTACCTTAGAAATGCGTGATCTTTATCATCGACATAAAAGTTTGTTGTGACATTTATTTCAATGGTGCGCGCAGTGGATGCGCAGTAAAAAGTCTACGGACACGACGTCAAACGTACTGACACGAAATGAGACTACTGCTTTACTTTATACTGTGTTTAAAGGCACGTTCAAAAATTTTAGAAAAAGTAGGTAAGATACTAATTGGCCTATAATTGCCAGCATCTTGCACATCGTCTCCCTTAAAAATAGGAATTACAAACGCATTTTTCAATAAATTTGGAAATTTACTGTTTCTGAAGGTTAAGTTGATTAGCTTTGTTAATGGAAAAATCAAAACACTAATATTTTTCTTTAAACATCGCATTGAAACGCCATAGATATCTTTGGTACTACTATTTTTCGAGGATTGCAACAATTGACGCACCTCAGTTTGAGAAACCTCATCCAGCCCGAAACATTTTCTCGTGAATAGAGGCATATTACACATGTTTAAAGCTGAAGATGATATAGTTGGAAGAGACTCAACTAACTTTTCCGGTAAATCAACCAAGTACCTACTTAATGTATCAGGATCAAAAGTAGCTGAAGATTTCTTTCGATGGCCTATATTTCCATTTATTACATTCCAGCTAGCCTTCATCCTATTGGTTGATTGTTTTATATACTGTGGAGCTGCCTGTGTTTTGGCAGTCCCTAAGGCTGTCCTGTATTGAGAGCGAATTTGATTTTTCAGGGTTAGCAAATTACCTGTCTTGTACTTTTTATATAAATTGCAAACAAATTGAAAGTTTTGTTTCATTTTTCTTAAAGAGTCATTAAACCACATAATACCATTATCTCTATTTCTCGATTGGCATTGGCGTTCAGGATAGCTCATATTAAAGCACTCCATAAATTTAAGATGAAAAAAGTCGAACTTGGCATTCATTTCTAAATAATCGTCATTCAAAAAATCCCAGCTTATGGCACTAAATTCATTGAAAAAACTTATAGTTCCAGCCTGAGTTATTGGCCGAAACACACGCACAGCATAGTCGACGCGATCAACACACTCAATTGGCAGTATAATACTCTGTGCATGATGATCCGAAAAGTTAACAAATATGTTCTCCAAATAACTGTTCAATCTAGTAGCAGTATTTATTGTTTTAACATAACCATAACCGCCAAAAAGTTCACATATTGCTTGAGAGTCCCTATTCATTGTACAGAATTTAACATTAAAGTCTCCAGCAATTATCACCTGCTTATATTTCGATAATCTCTCAAGTGCTTCCGATACTATTAAGTTAAACATATTAAAATCTCCTGATGGAGACCTATAAATACATAGAACAACAATATTGAGAGCCATACACGATAAACCAGCCATCTCACAATCCATCTCCACGGCCAGTTCACTGACCCAGCTCATAGGTTCACACACAAGATCAGTGCAGGCAAGAAGTAGGACCCCCCATGGATATGATTAGTGCGGGCAAAAAAAGAGATTAAGTCCCATTTACCGATGCCTCTAAACCTAGCCAGCTCATCATGACATAACTAGTGCGCACTAATAGCCAAAAACTCAAAATGAGACCGCGTACCATACATGTAAGCCTCCAATTAATTTGACTTATTACGAATACTTTGTACATTTAAATGAAATAAAGAGACACTTTTTTCGGTACTACGATTAAAATTAGATGGTTCAGAATTATGATAACTTGGGCACTCGGTCACGGATTTCCAGGTGAAACTGCATCCGCGAAAACTACATTTCCAGTAACTGAATCTCGACGACTTAGGGAATTTACGTTATTATTAAGACTTGTGTTAAATATTGTGGTGTATGTCAGATTCACCCGTAGTCAAGTATACCAAGTTATCAGTATTTACAGTATTATAGACATTTTTACTGTTGCAATTATTTACAATTGTTTGATACAAATGTTTAGATAGTACATTTTTGTCTGCATTGGATAAATGTATTGCAGACGATTTAGTGAATTTGCGTTCATAATAAACTTGATTTAAATAGTGGGATTCAATCTGCAACTTTTTTGTGTCTTAACATTTTCTCCTAAAATTGTTAATTTGATCACAAAAAAATTTCTTAAATTTCTAGAGATATTTATACGTATGGACTGAAAACATTCTGCACAACTAAATAAGATTTTATTGAAAGAATGGCATTTTCTATTTAGTTGGAGAATAGTACTTACTGATTGTAAATTAAGAAATATCACAATAACAAATTGATCGATAATGAGGGGTTGAAAAAACCATCTCCTATAATAGTTTGCAGTAGAAATTTTGAATGTGTATACATTCTTTTATTTAAAAACTTGATTTAAAAAGACGGATTCAATTTCCAACTTCATTGTCTTTTGACATTCTCTCATAAAATTGTTAGTTTGATCACAAAGAAAAATAATACAGGATGTCTCAGCGAGACCGATCATTAGACGTTTCTGGGGTTCTGGCCAAAATAAAAATTTGAGAATTCAGACTTAAGTATTATCAATTACGTTCTCTTGGTCTAAAATATTTTCAGATTTCTAGCACTTCCGGTCGTACCTAGTACCTACCTTCTAGTACTAGGCTGAATATCCATATGATATGTGTGCATTTTTAAAAAAACCCTAATTATCTCCCAAACTATTAATGTTAGGTATGGGACATATGGGATATAAAAGATGTAGAATGAGACACTAAAGACGACTAAGTAATAAAACATGGGGGGTGCCATTTAAGAAAATGAAGTTATGGTACTTCCAAATTTTGAAAAGTTAACGTGCCATAGTACAGTGACCAAACGTTCTAGACAGCCGTTCTCGGCACCAAAACATACTCCATCATGTTGCTTAAGCATGTTCTGAATCCTAAATTGATATCCCAAAAATCGAGTGTTCTCTGATTTTTTGAACAAATGTCTGCTGGAGCAGATTTTTCTAGAAAAATTCGAATAACTCCCGAACGGCTGAATCAAATTGCAATCGTAATTGATAATACTTAAGTCTGAATTCTCAAATTTTTATTTTCGCCAGAACCCCAGAAACGTCTAATGACCGGTCTCGCTGAGACACCTGTATATATAGACACATATGCCATTTAGACTAATTACACTAGTTTACAAGAAAAATCTCGAAGACTGTGATATTTTTTTTATAATGCAGAATGTTGTGCTGATTCTGAAACTGTCTTCAGTTTTTCTCCATCATGTCCAGTTTTTGAGATATACCCAAAAATGTGGAAAATCGTAAATTAAAAAACATAGTAACGGTTCATGTTCAGTATATTTTTTATTTTGCCTAGTGTGCTTCTGTAGCTATATGGACATGAAAGTAGAGATGCAGACGAACATTTTGAGGTATTGATGGCATAAATCGGACTCTCCGTTATTTTGCTACAGCCTAAACAACTCAACAAAATCAAATTTTTTGACATTTTTCCCATTTTTTTATCAATTAATCGCACCGTAACGGAAAAGAATTATATGTGAACAAAAAGTTTGCAATTCTATCCTGTAGAACATTTAATTCTTTAAATTTCGAAGCATTGGTCGAACGTATTTTATCGGAGATATCGTTAATTTACGACAATCGTGCAAAATTTCATTTTTTGCTATTTTCGCTGTATTGTTGAAACATTATTACGAACAATTTTTTTTAATAAAGAGATATTTAACTGTTCCATGCACTAAGTATTAACATTAGATTCACTGAAATCAATATTATTTTACCTGTTCTAAATGTTGAACATTAAGCATATCAAATAATTAAAATTTATAGGCTGTCGTTGCTAGATAACATTTCTACTGTCACTTTTACTCTTATAACTTTTTTTTACTCTTTTACTGGATTGTATTAATTGGTCAGGAGGATTTGGTTTTGGCAGAGTTTCACTATGCGCACTCAGGTTTTTGGCTGATCTTACAAACGATACCAAACTTTTCTTTGTTTTTTTATTTATATTGTCTACGTTTATATTACAAAACTTTCATGGAATTAAATTTTATGTTTAATAATATACTACTTTACTTATTGTTAGTATAGTGCGGGAATGATTACTTTTCGACAATTTTTTGTATGGCTTTGGTTCGATTTCTCTGATAACACTCCAGAGATAATTTCCCATCATCCCAGCGTCCCAGTAACCTTGATAACGTCTTTCAAATGTCATTAAGTCTTGATGGAACCGCTCGCCTTGTTCGACACTTTCTGCTCCAATATTGCTTGGAAAAAAATCTAAGTGCGACATATTTATGTTGGAAATTATTTCGCGATAATTCTCATCCTTATGGTTCCCTAAAAATCCATGGACGATTTGTTTGAAGCTAATCCACGTCGTTGCTTTTTTTGTTGTTAATATTGACATGAATCGTTGTTATTTATTAATTTTCTTATTTGAGGGCCAACAAATATGCCTTCTCTTAGTTTAGCATACGATAGTTGTGGAAAGAGCTGGGTGAGATATTTAAATGCTGTGCCTTCTGGATTCAACGTTTTCACAAAGACTTTCATCAAACCCAGTTTGATGTGTAGTGGAGGCAATATTACAGATGCTGGTCTCACCAGAGGCTTATTTAAGACATTGAAAGCACCAGTATCGTAATGTTCTCTAAAAGGCCAGTCTTTGCGCACATAATGATGCTCTCTCGCTCGGCTATCCCACAAATAAAGAAAACAGCAATATTTTGTAAAACCTCCTTATAAGCCAGTAACCACTGCAATTACCTGAAAATCATAGAAATGTGAGTCAATACTTAAAAAGTAGAAGTTAGTAAATTTCTTTACTGCGGAAATTACCTTTAAATCTGCACAAACTTTCTATTCAAATGCGTTATACTGAATTAGAGTCAAAACCTCTGATATGCGCACATATGTTTCTTTACCAACAATAACAAATACCTTGATCTTTCGTAAGAAATTGTACAAATGCTTCGCCTCTCTTTCGATAAACAGTTACACGGGTTGTAAAGTGTAAATAATTCCATTGCTGTAAGCGGGATGCCAATACCTCGCTATCAATCTTCAGATCTCTAGCTAAGTCACTTAGTTCTTTCTGTGACAGTCTATGATATATTTTGGCATCACGTGATATTGATGCAGTACATTATTTGCCGTCGCGCCCAAAGACTAATATTTCGAATGCGGAATCAACACAGAACGTTATTCTTGCGATCTTTGATTCGAGGTTTATCGTAATGGTCGAAAGAAAAAATTTGAAAAAACAATGAAAATATATTTATTAAAAAATAGCACTGATTTTAAATATTTTTTAATAAATATATTTTCATCGTTTTTACAGAACGTTATAGTTAAAAGTATGTCTTGCGGCATCCGTGATCTTTTTTGGCTGGAGCCAAATTATATCGTAAAAATAATGATAACAGATTGCCAGACCTATCTATACCCAACGTAACTGATAACTTTTCGTAAATGAACACCTCTCTTCTCCTAACGCTGATCTGTATAAGAAACCTAAGGATTTGGTCCGCGGAAAAATGTACAAGCACATCTGGAATAAAAATTGTATTATTCATGTCCGTAAGGATGACAGATCGAGACCATTGGTTATCAAATCTCCATTTGATTGTTAACAAATCAGTGTAGCAATTTTTCATACCATCGTTGTGTTAACACTAATTGTCTCATGATTTGGTCGTTCTACTACCAGAACGTCCGTGGCTTACAATCAAAGACTTCAACTTGTTTTCTAAATTCCCTGCCTTTGATTATGATTTCTTGCTCTTAACGGAAACTTATCTTAATAATTCTGTCTACAATGGAGGGTTTCTTTGCCACAAGTGTTGTTATATATCGAAGTAATATATTCTGTCAAAGCAGATGGTGGTGAAGTCCTGGTGGCTCTTCCGCTTCTCAATTTATCAACTGGGGCCAAAGATTTGTGGTTGTGTGTGCGTAGTAATCGATTATTTCTCAAACTTCAGAATATCTCCTCTATTTTAATTAAAAAGCTGTCAACAACATTTCCTTTACCCTCTGCTTTACCTGCTTTAAATCCTTTAAATAAATTTTTATTTTCATCGTCATCTCCTGTTAACCACATTTCAATTTCATTGATTGTCGGTACTTCTTCAGTATAGATAAATTACAGTATTTCTCTCACTTCGCCGCAATTATGTTTTGTTTTACTATATTTTATTATCTTCGGCTAAGTTTTTCCAACACTTCTTAATTATCGAAGACGTCACTTTTTCCATGAAGCAGAAAGTAGACTTTTGGCATGGTACAAAGTTATTTTTTAATAAGGTCATGTGTAATATCTGATTCATCGTTATAAATGACGTGGGTTAATATAATAAACTCTTTCGGTAAAATATTTTTCGTTTGGCGAGTTCCATTTAATCCATTGGTTAGATAAGGGAATAGTTGGGAGGCAAAAACATATGTAGTTGATCGTCACTGACCAACTGGGTTACTGTAGTACATTACTTGGTGCATTATTGATTAACAACACCTCTTTCTAGGTAATTTATTCTCTTGAGAACATTTTCTCACTTCTGGGATAAAACATTTTATAAACCACTTCTTAAATAGTACTGAGGTCGTTCAGGCATTTGAAGTCGATTTGTAGATGATCGGTAGATCTTTGTTTTTAAAAGCACCTGGATTCTTAGCTTTTCCTACAATCAACAGTTTTAATTTAAAATCTTCCTTTCAAACATAGCGGTATATGTTGTTTAAAACCTAGATCCAAAGAATATTTATCTAAATGTAACTCCTCTTGTTTCAAACACCTGACTGAAGAACGTCATAGTTCAGACATTAATAATATTGAGTTACACAAATTCTTGAACAAATCTAGAGAACGTTTTTATAACTTTCCTGAAATAAATCATTTAATTATTTCATCTATAATTATTTGTTTACTAATAATAATTTTTTTTAATGTTTAGATTGCAAGATGCCCACGAAAGGGAATACATAGTTTGTGACAAATATTTAGAGCAGATTTTCAACTGCCAAAAAATGAAATTTGCTGAAATACCACGACTTTTAAATCCACTTTTACATCCACCCGATCCAATTGTTATTAATCATGTTATCTCAGTGGAAGGTGGGGCGGAAAATAAACAAACGGCTTGTTATGATATTGACGTTGAGGTAAAAAGTATTTTCTTGACTTACTATATTTAGAACGAATCCTTTTAGGTTGATGATACTTTAAAAACCCAAATGAATAATTTCTTATTAAGTACAGCAAGTCAACAAGAAATTCAAGGTTTAGATAGCAAAATACATGAAACAGTTGAAACTATAAATCAGTTGAAAACTAACCGGGAATTCTTTTTGAGTTTTGCTAAAGATCCCCAACAATTTATCCATAAATGGATTGTTTCTCAAACGAGAGATTTGAAGGTAAGAAATAATTCATTTTTGTTTTCGTTTTGCTTTAATTATTTTTTTTAGGCTATGACTGATGTGGTTGGAAATCCAGAAGAAGAAAGACGTGCAGATTTCTTCTATCAACCTTGGGCTCAAGAGGCAGTTTGTCGTTATTTCTATACTAAGGTTCAACAAAAACGTGCTGAATTGGAGCAGCAATTGGGTATAAGGAATGCCTAATAAGTGAAGAACACTTTTTTCAGTATATCACTTTTAATATTCTTAATTTTAATTGATAATGGATAAAAATGGAACTTTTTGATGATAATAAAATCAATCTTTTTTAATGCATTTCAATTAAAAATAATTTTAGATTGTTTTGTGGTATATCCTAGCCATACTTATATTACTGATTAAAATAATGATAAATCCAGTATCCAGCAGAAGGTTGCATATTAAAACACTATTAGATAAAACTATTTCTGATTTGTTTATTAGAAAAAAAGAATAATAAATTGTACTCAGAAAGAATATTACACTGTGGCACGCGTCTCTTTATTATCTCACAATCAGTCATGTTTCATAATTTTCATTTTTTTAGGTTCTTCTATGTTTTGTTAATAACAATAAATTATTGGAAATTAAATTTAAATTGTATGTGTTACTTCTCTCTATTGGAGAATATAAAAGATCTCATCAACGTCGCTAATTGTATCATTAAGACATCTTAATTTTTTTAAACAAAAATAAGTCAATATAAGGCAATATAAATTTGCTGGTATAGACATATTTACATAATTTAGAAGAAAGTTGGTCCACAAATTTCTCCAAATGTATGATTCCATCAACTTTAGTACAGAAAATAATATCATTCAATTTAATTTATTCAGTTCAAAAATACAGTACAAAATCAGTGTACAAAAAAAAAAGATTTCTAATTTTTTGAGACAGATACATTCCAAAGAGACAAATTCCAATTAATTTTCATTACAAAGTAGTTTACTGGTTGATCTAAGTGTTAATTATTATTATTGAAACAATAATAAGAAAACAAAAACATAACGAGCTAATTATTATTAATGATAAGGGCGAACTATTAATTGAGTTTTACGCCAGAAATGAGATGAGAATAAGTAATAACTTTTTCCCACATGAAACAATCTAATACACATTCTGTAACACAAAGGAATTATTAAATAAAGCATTTCTCCCCTCACGAATACTAGACATAAGGGTTCTGACAGCTAACTTAGGAATTGATCACAATCTTATGCAAAATAATGGAACAATTCGCCAAAATTGAGAGGATGCCGCCATACAGACGTCCCGAAACTCTATGTCAAGCGGGTACCGGATGAAGTCAACCCATACCAGTTCTGGTAATAGACATGTTTTTGAAAATGTTAAAAACTTTCCCGTAGATCATATCTTTATGTACTATGGCCAGAACTTTTCGCAATTTAATAGTGATTTTTGATAATGTAATCCTTACTAACCATGCTACTAGAAGTCACAAAAAAACAACAAAAGTCGTTAGTTTTGCGAGAAAAAAAATTAGTTTGATCAAGTTAAGGTTGAAAGAATTTATGTCTATTAAGTTTGACACACGATTTCTAAACAAAGGAGTAGTACAAAACACTTGGCAAGTAATTTTAAAAGATAGCCTGTTTAATCAAGATTCCAAAATGGCACATGACAAAAAGCAAATTCATGTTTGGACTAAAACCTGCTGAAAGTGTCAACAAGCAATGACCCAAAAACATACAAAATCACCAATCATCAAAATTCCTAAAATTAGATTTGATCATGTACATATCGACTTGATTGGACCACTCACTCCGTCCCTAGGTTGTAGTTATGTACTTATAGTTATCGAACGCTTCATTCGATGGCCAGAAGCTTTTCCGCTAAAAGATATCACATCTTCTACTATAACGAACACACTTTTCCGACCTATCACAATAATACATGAGCAGGGATGGCAATTCGAATCAAACCTTTTTTCAAAATTTAATACATTACTCTGCACACGACAAATACACACACCATCTTTTCATCCTCAAGCAAATGGAATCTTAGAACGATTTCATCGATCATTGAAGACAGCTATCATCGCTAAAGGAGACACTACTAGTTGGAACAACAATCTACCCCTCATCCTACTAGGATTAAGAACATCTCTTAAGGAAGATCTAGGTTGCTCCTCAGCAGAACTACTTTATGGTTAACCACTAAGACTTCCTGGAGAGTTCTTCATAACTACTAAAAATATGAGCCTTTCCTCTCCAGTTTAAGAGAAATTTTTTCCAAATTAAAGCCTGTCAATACGTCTTTTCATTCTGTTTATTAGGTTTTTTTTACTAAAATCTTTTATTCATAAAGACTTTCACAAATCAAATTTCGTTTTCATCCGAGATTAGCGATCAGCCATACCTTGAATGCATTGATGGCAGCTATATCTAGAATCTGATAACAGAGGGCCATGGGCTATCTATTGGTCTTCCTTTGTGTTGAATATTGTTTACTGCTCTATTTTTTTGGCACGTATGATACCAGAGTACGATTGTCTCTGTACACAAACATAAAAGAATTTATAGGTTTATATGCTCTACGAAGCAATTCGTTTGGTATGAACGCTTTATTTTTCCTCAGGGTACCGCAGAGGGTCATTCCCATCAGCTAAAGTTTATCCGATAATTGCAGGCTCGTGAAAAAATTATCAGTAGTTATTCGATGTCCTGCTGGTAAGTGGTTTACTAAGTCTAGTACCACTCTTCCTTCTTGGTTCTTTTCTGGCTGCTTAGTCATTTTTCCTAAAAAGAATATGCACACAATTCATACTCAGATAATTTTACCTAAGACATAGCCTTACCCAGATATACTTGCATATTTATTATGTATGCAGAATCGCAGTCTGCCACGGTCCAAATCTTGATCCCGTATTTTGCAGGTTTGTTCTTTATATACACACGGAATGGAGATTTACGCATTTATGGGCAACTAGATTACAGCAAATTTTACATTGTGCAACAAATGTATATCAAATATCTCTCAAATCGCAACCAGTCTGTCGTTTTCTCTTCTTTCTTTTCTAGTTTCGAAACTATCAAAACGAAGAAATCGCGTGAGTTCGTGGTAACGATTACGAGACATAGCTGACATNGACATTTCGGCGGCCAAACCTATTTTTAGTTATAACTTCGTAATGCTGTAACCCATAATTTTGATTTTCTAGAACAATTACTAGAACAACTAGAACAACCCAGAACAACAAAGAAAATTTGATTTTTCCAAAAATGAGGGGCTAGTCAAAAAACCTGTTTTTTCGGTTTTCTCGGGGAGTTTTTATTTTTTCGATTTGCCGCTTTGGAACAATGTAGAACAACTCTAGAACAATCTAGAACAACAATAAAAAAATTAAAAATCTAAAAATGGGGGCTAACTTCCCGCACTCAGCAGGTTCCACTATTCGTAGAGGTTTGAAATTTTGTTAGCATGGGTTGTTCACTCTAAACTTTCGATCTAAAATATTTTCAAGACCGTTCCGGTCTACCGGAAGTAAACCACATCTTCGTTAGTTTAAATGGAATGCTATAGTTTTTATTACACCTTTCAATTATACGTAAAAAAATATGTTGACTTTGATAAAAGTTGTTGGTACCTAGCGTTTTTTGTTTTCGAGTTATTTTGATTTTAAGATTTTTTTGGCAAATTTCACCATGCTCTTTAAAAGCCCATATTTCAGCTAAAAAAACCTCTAAATTGGCACGATTACTCGTCAGATGTTGTCAAATAGATTGTCATTTCTTGTATCAGCGTAACTTATACAGGCAGGTCAAAAATTGAATTACAGTTTCTCCATATTCAATTGGAGTCGAAAAGTTGAAAATTTTAAATGGAATGCCCCGAATTTTGTTACCCTATCAGAAAGGGAATTTAATTCTCTACAAATTATTTATAAACATTCCTATACCTATTTATTGTAGTTTCACTGATATAGGGAAATTAATCCACGCCATCTTGAAAATATTTTAGATCGAAAGTTTAAAATGAACAACCCATGCTACCAAAATTTCAAATCTCTACGAATAGTGGAACCTTAAAAAGTTCTAAGAAACCAGTTACGTGAGACACCCTGTATTTTGAGAGAATAAAACAAAATAATATCTACAGGTGTCCGAAAATGACGTGTACAACGCAAGACCACAAGTACCTTAACCAAAAATATGATGATTTAACTCAACTTATCTATATACAAAATTGCTTAGTTTAGCCGCTAGAGGGCTTTAATAATAATATGTTTTTTTAGATTTTTTTTTAAATAAGTCGAAAAATCCTTGATGGATTTTATTCATTTTATGGTCATGCGTTTGTATCAGTAGACTACAGCTATTTGTGGAATAAATTCTAATTTCGAAAATTATAGGGTGTTTAAAAACTTTGTGACAATAAATTATGCATCCATATCTTTTTAAGCCCCAGTACAAACAGTACCATTTTTTTTCTGAATAGTTACTTTAATTTAGAAACTATTTTCTCTCTTACAAAATTTCAGTCGGGTGAACGGTTAAGCTACAAAAAAATATTTTCTAAATCCCCACAAGCGCGAATGAGTGATGTAAGGTAACTAAAAACGTTTTTTTAATAGTTGGCTAGGTATTATTAATTAAAATTGAAAAACAAAAACAGTTTGTCACTTAAACTTGACAGGAGTNACATTCTGTAACACAAAGGAATTATTAAATAAAGCATTTCTCCCCTCACGAATACTAGATGTAAGGGTTCTGACAGCTAACTTAGGAATTGATCACAATCTTATGCAAAATAATGGAACAATTCGCCAAAATTGAGAGGATGCCGCCGTACACATGTCCCGAAACTCTATGTCAAGCGGGTACCGGATGAAGTCAACCCATACCAGTTCTGGTAATAGACATATTTTTGAAAATGTTAAAATCTTTCCCGTAGATCATATCTTTATGTACTATGGCCAGAACTTTTCGCAATTTAATAGTGATTTTTGATAATGTAATCCTTACTAACCATGCTACTAGAAGTCACAAAAAAACAACAAAAGTCGTTAGTTTTGCGAGAAAAAAAATTAGTTTGATCAAGTTAAGGTTGAAAGAATTTATGTCTATTAAGTTTGACACACGATTTCTAAACAAAGGAGTAGTACAAAACACTTGGCAAGTAATTTTAAAAGATAGCCTGTTTAATCAAGATTCCAAAATGGCACATGACAAAAAGCAAATTCATGTTTGGACTAAAACCTGCTGAAAGTGTCAACAAGCAATGACCCAAAAACATACAAAATCACCAATCATCAAAATTCCTAAAATTAGATTTGATCATGTACATATCGACTTGATTGGACCACTCACTCCGTCCCTAGGTTGTAGTTATGTACTTATAGTTATCGAACGCTTCATTCGATGGCCAGAAGCTTTTCCGCTAAAAGATATCACATCTTCTACTATAACGAACACACTTTTCCGACCTATCACAATAATACATGAGCAGGGATGGCAATTCGAATCAAACCTTTTTTCAAAATTTAATACATTACTCTGCACACGACAAATACACACACCATCTTTTCATCCTCAAGCAAATGGAATCTTAGAACGATTTCATCGATCATTGAAGACAGCTATCATCGCTAAAGGAGACACTACTAGTTGGAACAACAATCTACCCCTCATCCTACTAGGATTAAGAACATCTCTTAAGGAAGATCTAGGTTGCTCCTCAGCAGAACTACTTTATGGTTAACCACTAAGACTTCCTGGAGAGTTCTTCATAACTACTAAAAATATGAGCCTTTCCTCTCCAGTTTAAGAGAAATTTTTTCCAAATTAAAGCCTGTCAATACGTCTTTTCATTCTGTTTATTAGGTTTTTTTTACTAAAATCTTTTATTCATAAAGACTTTCACAAATCAAATTTCGTTTTCATCCGAGATTAGCGATCAGCCATACCTTGAATGCATTGATGGCAGCTATATCTAGAATCTGATAACAGAGGGCCATGGGCTATCTATTGGTCTTCCTTTGTGTTGAATATTGTTTACTGCTCTATTTTTTTGGCACGTATGATACCAGAGTACGATTGTCTCTGTACACAAACATAAAAGAATTTATAGGTTTATATGCTCTACGAAGCAATTCGTTTGGTATGAACGCTTTATTTTTCCTCAGGGTACCGCAGAGGGTCATTCCCATCAGCTAAAGTTTATCCGATAATTGCAGGCTCGTGAAAAAATTATCAGTAGTTATTCGATGTCCTGCTGGTAAGTGGTTTACTAAGTCTAGTACCACTCTTCCTTCTTGGTTCTTTTCTGGCTGCTTAGTCATTTTTCCTAAAAAGAATATGCACACAATTCATACTCAGATAATTTTACCTAAGACATAGCCTTACCCAGATATACTTGCATATTTATTATGTATGCAGAATCGCAGTCTGCCACGGTCCAAATCTTGATCCCGTATTTTGCAGGTTTGTTCTTTATATACACACGGAATGGAGATTTACGCATTTATGGGCAACTAGATTACAGCAAATTTTACATTGTGCAACAAATGTATATCAAATATCTCTCAAATCGCAACCAGTCTGTCGTTTTCTCTTCTTTCTTTTCTAGTTTCGAAACTATCAAAACGAAGAAATCGCGTGAGTTCGTGGTAACGATTACGAGACATAGCTGACATGATAGCTCTAGGGTAGGCATGATCGGTACTTCATAACATGTCGACAGATTCCTTACTACTTTTTAAAGCACCAATTGTAAATAAAACTCCAATATAGGCCAATATTTCATTATTACTTCTTGGAACAAATGTTTTTGGTTTCAAAGGGTTGCCAGCATTAGATACTTCGTAGAAGTATGTAGCCTTACGGTTTGTTTCGGTTACAATAATATTTATAATTTATGGCGTAATAAACAGGAAAAATGCATCTCTGATGCTAGAAATTTCAGAACTGTAGGTCGTTAGACCAGGAGTAACATTCAATATATTTGTTCGAGATCTTCTAACTATCTTTCGCTGCGCCATCAATTTCATCTAAACTATTTTATCAATTTTATCATCCTTGTCTTCATCCTTCTTGCAGAAAATCGTCAAATTCTGGATCAACATTATCCAGTAGCATCAACATCTCTTCTTCGGTAAGGTTTTTTGGAGCACGTATTTTCGGAATAGCACTCATAGCGTTCAAAACAAAAAGCACTAATAGAAATGACTATGAAGCGTACAACACAAGTAATGAGGCTAAACTGAAATACGTGGTCAAGTAGAATTGCAGGAATGGGTAGAAAGGGTATTCCCCGGAACCAAGCTGGGAAGCCCATAAAAACATGAATGCAGTTTCATACTATCAGTGAATCGCCAGAAATCCCACTCTAAAAAATTTTTTTTTTTTATTCATATTTTAAGGATATTTGATTTTCTTTAAGGCATCAAAAAAATTTTAAATGTTTATTTAAAAAAAAAATCAAGTCTGGGGTGTAAGTGCACCCCGGTTGGGAGGATGAGGGTTAAAAAATGTTGTACATGATATTAATTCAAATCAAGAAATATATCAAAATTAGATATAATTTCCTTTTCATTAGTAATTAATCTTATAAGTGAGAAGGCTTTCACGGCCGGTGTTAATTAAACTAAAACTAGACCTAAACACTTTTTCAAAAGACGCGTAGCTTAACTCGAGAGTTTCTAGTTCTAGTTAGTTTAAATAAGTAATCTCGTTTTTCATCTTTCTCTACCCCTCCGTTCTTATTCTATATTGAAAATAAATTGAAGCTGTAAATATCTGATTCTTATCTTTTTCCAGCATTACAACTGCACAATTTTTATTCCAGTAATGTCAAAACTGTTATACTACAGCTAAACAAACAGTCGCAAAAATATACCTTCCCTCAAAATTGCGTAGTGTAAGGTTTTTTTGGCAGAAAACAAGCTTAAACTGGGATATCTAATAATTTACTGTATGTTCTTGGTAAGAAGAAAACCACATGAGTAAAGACACCATAATTTTACATGAAAAATATTTATTAAAAATTAAATATATTCTATATAATTCTATTTTGTTGTTCTTTTCTTTAAACTTGAATACAATAACATATATTCATATATCTTATTAAACAATCGTTACTCTTATTTATAAACATTTCTCTTAAGTTCTTAACATTAACAGCAATCAAAAATATCTTTGGTACAATATTACTCTACTCGCTAAAAGTAAAAATAAACAATACATATCCTCCTCTAATACATATTTTATAAAAAAATATTTAAAAAAAATAATCAATTCCTTTACTCATTCATCAACTTATATTGCGTAGCACGTTCGTAACATTAAAAAAGAAATAAAACAAAAAAATAAATAAAAAAATAACGTCGCGCTATGATAATCATGTAAAAAAATTATCACGTGATGAAATAATTTTTTTTTATTTGGCAAGATCCGAGTATAAAAATCTTTGGTAGGGGTTCCTTTCGCTTTGGCATCATCTGTTTAGATATTTGGCACGGGGTTTATCTTCTTTCGCGGGTTACAAATGTTTCATATGGCAAAATGGATAACCACTTTTATTCTATTAACAATTTTTGTATTGATATTTTGTGCTATATTAAAAGAATTTTTTATTATTATTGGCAAAATGAATACTGGTTAAATTTAAAAACTAAAAGTGGTTACCCAAACATAATTAATAAAATAAAAATAGCCTCTTTAGAGAAATCATTTCCCTTTTAATCACTGAGCGAATTACTATGTCGCGTTGGCATTACATCGTTGATAGTCGAGTTATGTCTTGTTTTACGACTACCTTCCTCGATTTCAATTCGAGGATTAACCGATTGTGAAAGAGCCGTCGTCTTATTAAAATCAATCGTAACGTAACTTTTTTGTACCGTACTCGGACTATCGGGCGCGTTATCTTTACTAGGAACTAAATCAAGTTCCGCGTAATTCACTTCTTTAAACGCAGGAGATGAATTTAAAGAAGTCGGAGTGGCCGGCACGCTCTGATGGTGAGAATCAACCAACACTGTTGATGATTTCAACGACTCCAAATCGTTCGGATCAATATTTGCATAACAATGCATTTCTTCTAATGAAAACTCTTTGGTATTATTTATTAAAATTGGCGTAGCTTCCGGATTATCGCAAGTAATGTTCATGTATAAATGATTTGTTTCTGTACTTTGTATTATTAGATTTGAAGTGATATTATTTGGTAGATTCACGTAATTTTCAGTTACATTTGTGGGGTTAATGTTGATATAAGCTGGGGTTTCTTCAATGATTGGATTATTTGTATACGAATGTTGTTCAAATACTAAACTATCGCGTTTATTATTATTTCGTTCGTCCACTGATAATGGGGATATCACGGGTGGTGAGATCGGACCGTTACTTGTAATAGAACCGGGTCGACTTAAACTAGGATGAGAACGAACCGAAGGCGCGGGGGTTGGATTTAAATAACCTTCCGGTTGAGAGGAGGAAAGTCTACGTTGTTGTATAACCGTAGTTGTTACAGGAAGTGGGTTAGAAAAGTCGTTTATTAAATTAATATGGTTGTCGTCGTTTAAATTCCTCGATTGTATACTTTGCTGAACCATATTGAACAAAAACTCAGCACGGCGACATTGAAATGCATAAATACCTGCTCCCGTCGGGCAACGTCTCCCACATTCAAAACTAAACACTTCAGAATCAAAACCGTACTTCCTCAAACATTTCAAGGGCCATCTGGTTGGTTGTTTCTTTTTTTGATGAAGTACCAATTCGGTTTCTGTTATTTCCAACCTCCCTGGACTTATAACATGTCCATGTTCATCCACGTTGATTACTTGGAACACATTCGGATGTAAATCGTTTATATCTGTTCGACTACTAACACAACCCATATCAATATTCCGATATTAACTCGAACTGTGTTTAATTTTCTTTCTTTTAAATGAAAAATAAAGGAGGAAAAACAAATACACTTCTCTTTTTTGGGATTTACCTACAAGTTGGATTATGTAAATAAACAAATGTCAAGGTTAAAACTAAAAACGTACGTGATTCAGTGGTGTCCTGGCGAAATTTGTAAATCGTAGACCATCTTTCCGACTGGAATAAGACGTTGAAGCTGTCGCTGCATGTTTTTAGCGATTCACTTGGACGTAATTTATTTGTAATTTTGACAATTTATTAATCAGATGCATTATAACACAGTGAATGTAGCCGTGACCTTGAGACGGAAGCCTCTCATTTACTTTTAGTATTAGATGGATGTTACGCGCAGACCGGGTACTGACTGCAACATTATTGGAAATGAAGTGAGAAAGAGCGATTAAGATTTATAATGTTAAAGTGAAATGGATATATTGTACTATTAGTGTTTTGGGTTGTCTAATCTGTTAGGGTACTATTTTAAATTCAGCTTACGAATGATAAGAGATTAACGCAACAATTTGAAGTTTTATTTACACAATTATTACTACTTTTATTATAATTAATGTATTATATTAACTAAAACTAAGACTAGCACTATAACTTTCTTCAGAAATAAATTCAAAGTACAGTACAAGCTCAATAATCCGGCACCATTACATTTTTCACACTAATGGATTACCGAATGTACCGGACTAGTCATGCAAAATTATCGAAAATCTAAAAAAATGTAATTTTATCGTAATATCACCGGTAATATTACCCATACTGTATAAATTTTAGTTATACATAGGTACTGTATCACTTTTTAACGTTCATTCATGAAATGAAATAATTTTANTTTTATTTTGGCCAGAACCCCAGAAATGTCTAATGACCGGTCTCGCTGAGACACCCTGTATATCAGCGATTCCCAAACTTTTTTAGTATTATACCACCATTTTAAAATACATTGCTCCATTTTATGTAACACCTATTAACACATTGGCTGCCATGTCACTTTTTCTTAACGTCTTTCATATGTGAGTGACGTTCATTTCATAATATCTGAAAGACGTTAAGATGACGTGGCAACCAATGTGTTAAGCGGATAGAATATTTTTCCGTTGCATTTTACACATAATTTAAACATACATTTTTTGCTGTAAAGGTGATTTACTTTGAAAGGTGAGTAACTTTGTCTCACTCTTTCGCTGAAGTAATAATGGGCTACCGAAGAAGACCATGGGCAAAGTTATGCCTCGATGGGCAAAATAAGACGATTTTATGTCGGCATAGGAAGGGAAAAAATAAAATTACAGNAACACTAATCATTATTAGTGAAAAGGATGTTGTTGCATATTTTTACACAATTTATCAATATTTGGTTCGATATTAGATAAATGTAGCCTAAGGTTGGGTTCTAAATCAAGTTTATTTCTGTATGTACAGGGTGGTTCAAATTCGATGTCCGAATAGGCTATCTCGGAAACTATAAGAGTTAAAAAAAAAGTAGCTTACATGTCGTGATCTCGTTTTCAGAGAAACTCCTAATGCCAAAAACCTCAAAGCGCTATCATTATTAGTGAAAAGGATGTTGTTGCATATTTTTACACAATTTATCAATATTTGGTTCGATATTAGATAAATGTAGCCTAAGGTTGGGTTCTAAATCAAGTTTATTTCTGTATGTACAGGNAGTAAATGAACATATTTCTTATTATATTTCCCTTATTAGCTCTTACTTATTTAACAACATTACCTACTATTCAACAACATCCTTCACATTTAATTATAATTAAGTGAACACTAATCATTATTAGTGAGAAGGATGTTGTTGCATATTTTTACACAACTTATCAATATTTGGTTCGATATTAGATAAATGTAGCCTAAGGTTGGGTTCTAAGTCAAGTTTATTTCTGTATGTATAGGGTGGTTCAAATTCGATGTCCGAATAGGCTATCTCGGAAACTATAAGAGTTAAAAAAAAGTAGCTTACATGTCGTGATCTCTCTAGAGGCTAAAATTGAAAATATCGTAAATCCAGCAAGTGCAATTATCTTGGTTATTATTATAGGTATGCTAGTAAAAAAATATTCACTGTCAGGTTTAGTGCAGAAGAACGTATTGTACGNTTATTAGTGAAAAGGATGTTGTTGCATATTTTTACACAATTTATCAATATTTGGTTCGATATTAGATAAATGTAGCCTAAGGTTGGGTTCTAAATCAAGTTTATTTCTGTATGTACAGGTTGGTTCAAATTCGATGTCCGAATAGGCTATCTCGGAAACTATAAGAGTTAAAAAAAAAGTAGCTTACATGTCGTGATCTCGTTTTCCGAGAAACTCCTAATGCCAAAAACCTCAAAGCGCTATTTGTTTTTCCCCTAGAGGCCAAAATTGAAAATATCGTAAAAGCAAGTGCAATTATCTTGGTTATTATTATAGGTATGCTAGTAAAAAAATATCCACTGTCAGGTTTAGTGCAGAAGAACGTATTGTACGGTATTGTAAATCCTAAATTTTTTTGAACCCCTTTATCTGCTTGTCCACCAACATACACTAACCGTCAATAGCAATACCAGATACCGACTTGCAAAGTCAAAAAATGTTTATCCCGTATTTAGCGAGTTTACTGGGCATAGACTGTTTGAATTTACATCGTCCTCGATATGGAACTAATTGTTCAACACACGTAGAAATATTTTCATTCGTTGTTATGCCAACTCTATACTGTAGCAAAAATTAATTCCAAATCATTGCAAATTTATCTTCTTTGAGTCTTTCATCTCGTGTTCTTTTGTCATTAAAATGCATAAATCTTCTAACTGCCATACCAGCTTTATACAAAGGATTGGTTTTTGCCGAGAAAAGTTGCCTTATTAGGACATCCCAATTGCAAAGCTCAACCAAGTCTATTTCACGTCATATTATACTTTTCTGTAGGCCACTAATACGTCTGCCTTCTAAATTTGTACAATGAAGTATCTCATTCCAAACACCTTCTACATTGAAATATTCACATGAAATCTCGAGGGAAACAAAATATTTTAGATGTGGCAGAACCTGGAGGACCTCTTAAAAAGTTATACGCACTAGTTTTAGATTGACGTGGTGGTGTAGTTTGTCAAAGCATCCTATTTAGAGCAACTAATTCATTTGTGGAATGTGTAGTTGAGCTTTCGACTTTATCTTCGCTAGATACTTTGCTTCACTCACTATCTGAATATTCTTCGTTTAGTATTTCTTCACGTTTTTTGATTCTGAAGTTTCACCCAATGCGCAAAATTCTTATCACCGACACGTACAGTTTGCTTGTAAGATTTTGAAGTGGAAGCATTATTGGATCAAATAACACTACGCACAACAGTAAATATAAACACCGAATGAATATCTTCAACTATGGCCGCGTTTATATACACGCAATAATCCTATAGCAACAACCCCACTCACGTGTGATTCGATTCGGGCAAAATCTAGAAATAGAAACATTCTGGTTTAGCCGTACGTCTCTTAAGATGTATAGAATTAGAATATTTCTAATTCTGTCTTCATAATTACCAAAACATCCAGCAAAGGTCACTGATTAGTAGCTTCCGTTTCCACGATAAATTTGATCATGGGGTGCGTGTTCAGGTAGCCTATCAAGAAACGCTCTTTTCTATGCTGCCATATCATAAGGACATCATCCACGCAGCGAAACTATAGCTTTGGTTTCTAGGGACTCTTCCTCAACGCTTCTTCTTTTAACATCCCATGGTTGTCCCTTCACATTGCTTGTAAAATTTTCCTTTCCAGCTAAACTATCGATGATAAATTAGCCCTAGAACAGGTTTTTGGACAGCCGCGCCTTCCGGAATGAGTTTCTGGGAAAGACCATCCATGTCATCTTGAACTGGTACTCTGGGGATTTAACTTCATACTTTTGATTGATTCCACAAAATGCTTAGGATTGCTGACATATAATTTTATTTTTCTTGTAAAAGAAGACAGAATCTTGGCAAGGAGCTTCGCCAACTGGTACGTTGAAGAATTTATGGCGCTAACAATATCTGGTATATGGATTTTGGGTAACCCATTAATTCTTGTACTGGGGCTAGGGCATGTATTAACAAACTTCTCCATTGTTCTGCTGCAATTTCTGGAGATTTTATTTTCTTGTAGGTGGCTGAATTTAAAAGGCTCGTCATCGTGTTTTTTCCTGTATATGACCACGTTATCATTCTTTTTGTCTGCTGGTTGAACGATGATATCTATTTTTTCTTTGATTGTCCGAATTTGTCGAATGTATTATATTTATAATTTATTCACCTGCATATAATAAAACAAGTTGGTTGATGGGCCAATTTGTCATTTTTTTTGAATGATGCAAAGGATTAATATGGATTAATGCACTCCAATAATATACAACCAATCAGAGTAACGATCGTTTTTCAAGGTTTTTCAACTGAATAAATCACACGTGATATTTTATAACTATAACTGATAAAAACGCGACTACCATATATATACTTTTGTTTACCTGTCACATTTTTGACAACTATAATTAAGTCAAAAATAGTTAATAAATAATTAAAAATTGTCGATAAATTGTGCAATTGTCGTGTATTAATCTCCCTAAAATACGCTCGAGATTGATTTTAAATCAGGATAATTTTATTTTTAATTCACTCAAGTTTTGTTACCCTTTGGAAATAACTCTCAATCAAAATCAAAAGATATGCGATTTTATCATGCTTTTGATTTCGAGTTATTTCCATGGTAACAAAACTTTCGTGTAAAAATAAAATTATCCGATTAAAAGTCAAACTCTTGTGTATTTACCCCCGATAAATAATTTTTATATAACTAAATAAAACTTTCAATTTGTTTCTATTCACAATTAGATGTGTTTTTAATGTATCAAATTCTTATAGATAACCAACTTTACAATGTTGCAGAAGGAACAGTATTAAAATGATTTATTAACTTAATTATTCAAAAGGAAATATGCATAAGCTTAAATAATTCATGGATTGTAAATTAAAATACAGTAATATTAAGTTATAAATAATACAAATATCCACATTGTATAAAGATGTAATTATAATATGTAAACGAAATGATTTTCGACATCTGCTTGTTAATGAAGAACAAAATTCAAATTCCAAAAGCATCGTCACCGTTGACGAATACATTTTTTTCAATAATATTAACATGTCTCTTTACATACATATTTAACTCTCGTCGTCCAATTTTAGTTTTAGCACACGCTGGGTGCTGCTGTTTTGCACAGAAGGCAGCAGCCTGTCGAGTAATTATCGTCGCGTGT